CACAATGTCTCCAGTGTGTTTACTTCATGGGGCTTTTCAGCCGGAACTTTGACAAATTGATTTAATACTCTTCTATATTAGATGTCATAATTATTTTCAGGATGGGATGGAGTAGTACTATGCCTATCTGGTAAGAGCTTCCTAAAAGAAAAAGCAGATCCAACTTATGGTTTGAAATCTAATAAGAACCTGAGGTGATGTGATTGATGCTGTTTATTTATTCATTAGAAGCAGGCAACTGAAGACCAGAGAGTTGCAGAAACAGCTCCGGAATATAGGGATCTCTCCCCAACTACCCACTGCTCTATTATTTTCTTAGGCTTGAATTTAATTTATACAGTGGGACCTGCTGTGAACACCATCTGAAATATACAATACAAAATGCGGGAAAAGGAAAAAGATTTACCTGACAAGAGTCTTTTCCACCTTCCAGGTATCCTGCACAAAACATATTGTTGGTGATTTTCCCTGGATAAGCCTTACTGCATTGACTCTGAGAAAGTATAGGGGCAGTCAGACACTGTAGGAGGTCTGGATAGCTTGCTGTGGGAAAGATCAAAGAAGCAATATTCATTTCTGGAAGTAGATATTAGACATGCCCTAGAATGTTTGAATAGCACAATTACAGAACTGAAGCTTCTCCATAAAACCTCTGTAAAACTATTGCCCTAAGGATGCCAATCATCCTTTGCTTCATTGCAAAAATCTTCCAGTTGACCAAATCCTGGACTTAAGGCAAGTTCTGAGTATCTTATTGGGATGCATTGTTTTACATGAGATGATCCAATTTATAATGGAATTTGTCAGGAAATGAAAGCCAAGAATCAATATCTATTAACCTCTCTCCATAATTTTGCTCAATAAATTCAACTGAACATGATCAAAGAACATGAAGAAGACTTACAGCCACTGCTGAGAGTGTTGCCCCATCCAGAGATTAAACATTTTGCTCCACTGGCTGGACAGCTGTTTGGTAGATTGACTGCTGAAACACGGGAATTGAGAGTGGCTGGTTTGGATAGTTTGATGAGCATGATGTCATTGTCCAAGGTTTGGGAGTTGTAGCTGGGATGACGAATGACTTTCACTGAATCAATATACTGCTCAGAACCATCATTTTTCGTCAAACTGTGTTCCCCAAGTCTCACTTGGATTCGGCTGAATCAAAACAGGAAACAGAAATTTTGGTCATGCCTTTTTTCATCCAACCTCTTTTAATATGCTATAAGTAAAAGCCCAGCCCACTAATATTGCCGCTCACAAGAGCATCCTGCTGCCCATAATGGCTAAATCCAGGAAAAGATGGACACAATTGCAAGTTGGCTTCCAGTACTGGGTAGGCAGTAAACACTTCTATACATTTGTGCACACCCATACCTACATATAGAAGCATGTGTGTATATTCTTTATTAAATTTACTAATACAAGTAAATATTTCAGCACAATGGTGATGTCCAAGTTAAAATTAGAACAAATGATTACTTACGATTTATAGCAGTGAGCAGCTGAAACAATCCATTGGCTCTTTATGATGGAGCCACCACAGAAATGGTATCCGGAATTCAGGGAGACCTGATAGGGGACAGAATGCTTTTGGCAGGTGTAGCCGCCCACAATCTTATCATCGTCTTCATCATCGATGGGAAAGGCAACTGGATAATGAAAATATTAAAATATTTAGATTTCATAGTGGGTGAAACAGGAAACAAATATCCCCCAATTTTTAGCAGAAGAAATTTATGAAAATTGTGGTATACTCTGAAGAGTCCATATGATGGGATCTTCATCCCATTCGAGCGAGCCACAGATGGCCAGTTAACCAGTAGGAAGTCATATGAGGAGGGAGGGCAGAAGGGGGGAAGGAAAGAGGGATGTAGGAAATAACAGAAAAGGAAATTATCTAAAAGTAATTTACATTTACTCTATCTCTCTTAACTGTGAAACCATCCCGACCTCTGCCACAGGGGCCAGAAATGCCACTATTCGTGGCAGTTGAGTTCCTGCCTTTATGTTTTGGCCCATAGGTTTCTACCTCCTGTCAAAAATGTCTTCTCCCCCCCCTTTTTGAGCAATTTCCACTCTTCTATGAAGAGATATTGATGAACTACCATAGAATGCAAATTTGGGATATGTTTTGGTATGTGGGGAAATATGCATATAGCAGATCTCCAGTGGTTCTGCAGTTTTTTCCAGAATTGTACACTTAGGTGATCTGCAATCCTAGGAAAAGATGTATCTGGGTTCGGGAGTTATAGACAGATGCTATCCATGTACATTCTGAAGCAGCTTTTTGCCTTCAGGTTCATTGTTTACTTTCTCATGCTCCTACACATCATTTCCCTCAAACATTGAGTAAGACAAGGTTAAGTGAACCCTGAGCCAATTTCCCTTTGAATAGTTTCTATCATTGGACCATTTGTATCATGCAAGTGTATGGAATAGATAATGATTCTGTTTCAAGGAATGGGTAGGATATTTGAGGGACTGGGGATCCTAAGGTTTGTCTAAGATCTGTTGCCTTAAAAAGCAATGTGCCTGCTCTAAGCTTTTCCTGTCTACAACTTTTTCTTCACTTGCTATTATATCTGGGAATAAGTTACCTCAGGCCAGACATTAGGTAGTATAATTTGGTGGCTTCAGCTGAAACACCAAGAAAGCATAAAGAAAGTTCCTTAGCTATATCATCGATAAAGATACCTGGTTTAAAATTAATAATCTGTGGCTAATATTTAGTCTAGTATTCCACAACTTTGGCAGCTTTTAAGATGTACGGACTTCAACCTCCACAATTCCCCAGCTAGCATGCTGGATTGGAAATTCTGGCAGTTGAAGTCCATACATGTTATAGTTTCCAAAGTTTAGAAACCCTTCTATAGATTAATTTTGGTGGCTTGGGAGTCCCACCTTTACAAATTCAGCCCTAAACTAATAAAAAGCCCTTAGGCTCACTAGCCTGCTAGCTCAAATTCTACTTGAAAACATACAGTTGTCTCTTTCCAGTTCCAAGATGAGACTTCTCAGGATCTTCTCTGGAAGAAATTATGGACTTACCAGCTGCTCCCAAGAGTGCTAACAGCCAAATGAACTTCATGTTGCCTTCTATCATCAGATAGGCAGACCAAAGGAGCTGTTGCACATATTTATGTTGTGGGACCAATATTATCTTTACTCCAAGGACTTAATCAAAAGGAAAAATNNNTTTTTTTTTTATGGTGAGGGTTGTCCTTGGACTTTGAATGGTATACTGAGTTCAAATAACAACAAGTTAATGAGCCCAAGACAAGAACTCAACTTGATTTAATTTAAATAAAAATGAAGTGGGTTTTGTGAATATGATTACTTTAAGCTCCAGCTGACTTGCAAAAACTAAAAAAAATCTACTCTCCAAGAACATTCTTATGAATAGATGCTATTAGGCTTCAGGGTATTAAAAAAAAAAACCTCAATACTTAAAAATATTTTCTTTGAGAAATTGGAATTCATTGTATTTGGCTTAAGGTTTTATTTATATATGCAGACTTGTTTATAGTTTATAGGCCACATGGTCCTAATGACTCTGAATGGTTTATAATTAAAAGTAAGAAAAGAATAAGAAATGACAAATAACCTGAAGGTGAATTTGTAACTTTTAAAAAATCCTCCAAATGATGAGCTGAGCCATCATCCTGCCTAAAGCCCAGGAGAACCATTTGATCTTTGGTAGGTTCCCGAATGTCATTGGGGTAGAAGGCATGAAGATCTCTGGGACATTATCCTTTCAAAGCTTCCTGGGTTGTATTGGATGACACTGCACAACTGATGGGGACCAGAATGTGGGTGAAACAGTATATTGAAAATGTTCATACAATTTCAGTTAATAACAGAAACTGAAGTGCCAAGAAACTAAGATTAACCAAATTGTTGATTTTGGTCATATTTCTGGTTAAATGAGTATAGATAATTTACAGTGATGGTATAATGCTAACATAGAAGAATTTTTCATTCAGAAAACAATTTTTGAACCTTCAAAATCCATTCTAAAAAGAAATAAGGGAGAGCAGCTTTGCACTAAAAAGTCTGTCAAAACACAGAATATAGTATACCTTACAACAGTGGTGGTGAACCTATGGCACGCTTGCCAGAGGTGGCACTCAGAGCCCTCTCTGTGGGCATTCATGTCGTTGCCCCAGCCCCGCCCTCCCCTTGGCCCCCTCCTCACCAGCAGCCCGCCTGAAGGAGAGTCTCCCCCGAGCGTGGCCCACACAGAGCAGTGCAGCCAAGGACATGGCAGCCGGGCAGCGGGGACAAGACTCCGCCCTCATGCCCCATCGCACGCAGATGATGCTGTGGGGTGCGGGCGGAAGGCGTGGCTGCCATGGCACTGCTGGGCTTCCTGGGCGATCTGCTGTGGGCCATGGAGGTGGTGGGTGGCTGGGGGGGTGGGGCAGGGGCTGGGGCTGGGGCTGGGGCAGAGTGGGAGTGGGCAGGACAGGGGCAGGGGCAGTGTTTGAGCACTCGGTCTCTAAAACTTTCACCATCACTGCCCTACAAGGTCTAAAATTGAATGCAGTAGTACTGTTAACATATGAAACTAAACTAAAACAGGACCAAGCTTGTGAGAAAAGGTCTTTTCAAAAGTGGCCTGCTTGTTGGGATATTTTTTTTCCACTTGGGAGAGTCAGGCTCTAGAGATGTCCTGATCTACCTTTCTCTCCAACAATCTTGGTGCTGCTTCTTCTCTTCTGGTATCACATCCATTCCCCAGCAGCAGAAACAAAAATGGCCAGAGAGGCAGGGCCTGGAAAGGACAGAACATGCCTACAGTTGCAAAAAGTAGCCCTTAGGACCTGGACAGATGCCGACCCTCTCAAGTCTCCACCATAGTTATCACTGAAGTAGCACATTTGATGATAAGCATGGCTACACTTAAATATTTGCCACAGAAGATGGTCAGCCAATCAGTGTTTGTACTTTCTGGTCAAAAGTTCAGCAAAGACAACTGTCAGCCAAGCGGTACTCATTTGCAATCATTTAAAAATGGCCAGCAGTAAATTACCTTGTTCCACTAGGTGCAAACACTCTCCCCATGCTTCACAGAAGTTGCTAATGTTCTGCCTCTCATCTGGTCCATGCATTTTATTTTCCCTTCTCATATGCTCCATGCAAAAAACCCCATAGACAAGTTGAGAGGAAATTCTGCTAGGAGTTAATAACTAATACACAATATTATGCATATAATATGCATGCCATAAACGCCTTTAAAATATCTGCAGTCCGTGGTTGTACATTTCTGTTACTCTTCAGCTTCCTGTGACCTATAAAGCTGGCATATCAGCAATTTTGCATTTGAGCATCTTTCTAGAACCGAGCATCTGTTATGATGCTAGAACTGAAGCTAGAAGCAGGGGGCAGCATAAGGCAAGAATTTCTTTCAAGGAGGCCCAAACATTCCTCAAAGTACAAGTCTATGATACGTTGCTGTTTTTAAAGTGGCATTTGTTGTTTTAAAATAGCATTTCTTTTTTCCCCCAAGGAAAAAATAGCATGGCACAAAGACCAGTCGTGACTTCTGCAGACTCCCAGTAATATTGTCATGGGATCAGTTGAGGTGATGTGAATCAGATCACTTTGCTATATGGAAACTTCTTCAGAAATTATCACTGCAATCTTTTGTTATCTAGTAGGCTATTCCAAGGCTACACCTTATCTCAGAACTCTATTTCTGTGCATAGAGAGAAAGCTGATATCAGACAGGGAGATTCTCCTTTCAATACACCCTATCACCCTTTATGTTTAAGATGGCTCTGTTTATACATTAGATTGGGAAAGCGAGAAAGCCAATGCTAGTGCTTGGAGAGACGAGATTCACAGAATCCAATACTTTTTCTCCTCGGATATCCTTTCTTCTCCAAACGGGCCTCTATACCGCTCAGAATCTTTCACTGATGCAATAAGGAAGGAGGAAATATTTAAACAACCAAAATAGGGAAGTTATTTTCTCTCTCCTCCCCATCCCATTTCTCATTTTGAAACCCACTGCAGGAGCACATGACATTTTGGGGATCCTCAGAAACTCTGGAATTGGATTTTTCGGCATGAACATATCCATTAACCAATATTCATGTTGTCAAATAAAACCACACGAACAGTGGTTGATTTAAGCAGAAGGAAATTGTATATCTTCAGTTTAGTAGTACTGGAGAAATTTTAAGGTTTGATATCACTTAATATATGTTATGTATTAATATTTTCTGGGATTGTTATATCACTTAATCTTGATTTATGTTGCTTTATGATGTCATAAAGGAATGCCTTATTGGAATTAAAGAATGCAATTCATCATGGAAGCACTTTCCCTTCCTTTTTGGAATGCACCAGTGCTAAAACCAGCCAACCATGGAATCAAGTCCTTCAACAAAGGCAAAATATTTGGCTGGGCTGCAGACAAATAAATTAGCACAATATCACAGCTTATCTTGGGAGGATGCACAACAGGGACAGCAACTTCTGCTTAGAAACATCTGCAAAATGAGATCAAGATCTCCCTGGTTCCTTTGTATATTTTTTGAATCAGCATTTCAAGGATACTCTCAGTTCTTCCTGTGAAAACATTCTTTACATGAGCTGCAGAATTTGGCTCTGGGTTAGAAAGAGTAAGTTGTTCTTATATTATATTGGGGTTTAATGGTGTTTTCAAGGGAAATCCATGGATGAGAAGTATGGATCAATAATCTTTCTCTCACTTGCTCCAGAGATTCAATTGTTTTGCACTGACTGGTTTGGTTAGGCTGAAAATCCAGCAGGGAATATGGGTAGGAATGATATAGGGAGGATATATCCAATGGGGAGTCTGCAAAATGAGAAATGTATTTACCAGAGTAAACTGGCAGCATATTTTATAAATATTATATTATTTATTTATTACATTTCTATGCTGCTCATCTCACATGCAAAGCAATTTTTTGCCTATTTATCTTCACAGAGATCACATATTTTCTTTGTTTATGTACAGATCTGTTTCTCAATCTCAGCAACTTTATTTATTTATAAAATGTATAGGTCACCCGTCTTACCTCAAGATATCTTTAAGATGCATGGACTTCAACTCCCAGATATCCCATCCAACCTGTGAATCCTGTGTAGGACAGAGTCCAATAATGGACAAGCAAGAGAAATGGGAGCCAACTCAAAGAAATACCCCAACTTTCACAAATGTCCCAGCATTCTGCTCTTATTAAATATTTTTCTGCAGTTTAAAGAAGTCCTGTCACAATATAGGACTCGGCCTACCAAATATGCACAAATGTATACACTTTTATTAGATTAGATTAGATTAGATTAAGTTGATCTATTTAAACATTTCCTGAAAACCAACAGGTATGTCTTAATAAAACTCAATCACTCAAGGGACGCACACAGACACACACTTTCAAATCGCTGTTGATTCCTGGGGACTGCCTGAACTAGTCCCTGCAGTTTTCTTGGCAAGTTTTCAGTAGTAGTTTGCCATTACTTCCTTCCTAAGGCTAAGAGAGACAGACTAGCCCAAGATCACCCAGATAGTTTTGTGCCTAAGGCAGGACTAGAACTCACAGACTCCCGGTTTCTAGCCTGGTGCCACTACACCAAACTGGCACTCATTAGACAATTATCAAGACATACTGATTCAGAATAGGCAATCCACAGATCTGCCAAAGTCCACTTTGTCTATTTTTGAAGCCCTTTGTTCTCTGCAAAAAGAGTTGTGTGTGTGAGACTTTGTGTTTGGGTGGACAAACATGCACACATGTATGCTTCTTTTGTGGTGATTGTAAGAATTTGTCTAAATTTTATAAAGAGAAACAGACCTAGCCTTTTAAACTCTATGAGATTGAAGATAGAAGGGGAAAATCATTAATTTAATTATTACTTGAGCTCATAATCGGAAAGTGGCTGAATAGCTGGAAGCTCACTTGTCTGCAAGCACAAAGGGCATTTGAAATATACTTAAGAAAAGCAATGAGCCTAAGCTTTTCAATGACAACCCTAAAACCCAGCAAATAAAAAATTTAAAAAGTTAAATACCAGTGAATTACTGGAACAATCAGAGCAGAAAACTCTGGCCTTTTGCCT